AGCCAGGGCTTCGGCGTGTTCGTTGGGGCTTGTCAGTGAAGCTGCTTTCGCGTCGTCTCCGTTAGAATAACCCTTCCGCACAAAGCGGTTCTCGGTGTTTTGTGTTTTGAATAGGTAGACATTGCTTTCTGCCTGTCATGCAGCTTTTTGCCTCCTTCTTCCTGTACAAACTTGTCAGCACTGATGGACCAGAGCTTCCTTTTTGACTCTTTAAAAGGTTATGTGAAGGGAACTTCAGAGCTCTTCTCTCACCGTTTTACGTGGGGTTTTGTCTGTAGGTACTCCGGGCGTAGGGAAGACCACGCTCGGGAAAGAGCTTGCGGCAAGGTCGGGGATGACCTACATTAATGTGGGGGACATGGCCAGAGAAGGTAGGCCACATTCACAAAGTAGTCCATCGAAGCACTTTAAATAGTTTTTTTCTTGGTACAACTGCATGCGTGTAACTTCTGTATTGTCTGTTAAATGACACAGCAGTTGATTTGCTTTAGCTGGAATGTTTCTGGTGGCGTGAGTTAAAAAAGCATTTGTGTAATATGAGCATACTTTGTCTTAACTAGTAAAGCAACTTATCCTTACATGGATTTGTAAACAAAGTCTTCCTTCCTCAGAACGCTATCTTGTGTTTGTACCCTCCAGAAATAAACTTCACCACCTAAATAATTTTCATAACCACTGTTATTTCATAAACTTGCACAAATTCTTTTCGTTACAGGAGAACTGTATGAAGGTTTTGATGAGGAATACGATTGTCCGATTTTGGATGAAGACAGGGTAAATCCAACTTCAAGACCTACCACTTCTGTACTCAGATTTTCTGTAACTTCAGCTAAACTTGCCTTTGTTTCTTCTGTAGGTAATTGATGAACTGGAGGATAAAATGAGTGAAGGTGGAGTTATCGTTGATTATCACGGCTGTGACTTTTTCCCTGAACGGTGGTTTCACATAGTATTTGTACTTCGTACAGAAAATTCCTATCTGTATGACAGACTTGAAAGCAGGTATGTCAGTTCTCTAGGCTATAAATGATTGATTCTGTATAGAATAGAGTTCTCTGCATATCTAAGACTGTCTCTGGGTATTGTTCTTGGTTTTTAGGGGCTACAAAGGGAAAAAGCTGCAAGACAACATTCAGTGTGAAATTTTTCAGACACTTTATGAGGAAGCTATGTTGTCATACAGAGAGGAAATCGTACACCAGTTACCCAGCAACACTCCAGAAGACCTAGAGAGAAATTTGGATCAGATTATGCAATGGATTGAGCAATGGATGAAGGACAACAACTGACATTTGATGAAAAAGCAGCTCTGCTGGATCTCTTCCTGGGAGGGTATAATACATGATATTTGTAATGATAATTTAAAATTAATTTTATTGTAATCTGATATGGTTGGGGACAAGAAGAACGTTCAGAATAGCCAGTCTGTAAGCCTTCGGGGCAGCCTCTGAGTCCCTCTGGGAGAAGCACAAAAGAGAACTGTCACAAGTGAAAATTCAGTATTGAATGAAAGGATGAAAATGACACAGTTGCCCTTAGCAGCAGGAACTATGTTCAATAATTGAGAAATCCAAACTTTACCTCCTTTCACCCTCAAAAAAACGGTAAAATCCTGATAACTGGTGGCAGCTGAGCAGCTTTTGATTTCAAAAGGGTAAATCAGTGTCCTGAGGAGTTAGTGCATTTCCTAATTGTCAGACTAAAACCTCCCACTCCTCGCTGCAGTCCAGCATGTGTGGAGGTTAATCTACACCGAGGGGTGTGTGGTTTAGTTTAAGGGAAGTGCTTTATTTTGGAGGGCAGAGAAGTGAATAGGTAAGAGAGATATTTTTAAATAATTACACAGAACTTTGGGAATTACAGTGTTAGGAGTGGATTGTCAAGCAATAAGTTTTCCTTCTCTTTTTCTCTGTTTTCTGCACCCATCCCAACCATGGAACACATTTATCACTGTTAAGTTTACAAGGAAATACATAGTTTTGTAGAATAAAGAGCCTGCAGTGATCCAGAACACGGTTATACTTCAAAAACTGGCAGACATCTCTTCTGATTGCTTGTAAATCCTGGGTCCCAGAAGGTCATGGCTGTGCAAAGTATAACCATTCTTCACTGAAGAGGGGGTTTGTAAAGCCTTGTGAAAGATTCTGTAAGAAAGTGCTTGCTAATAAACTTTTTATATACACAACTTTGAATAGTAGAACCGTTTGCTTAAAAACATATACTGTAAAGAGTAGTATGGTTACGTAGTTAAGATTTGGTGGGGTTTTTTTTGTTAAGTGTATAGGGTTTTTTTGTGAGACTTAAAGGAACACTGCAATTTGACCCTTGTATAAACCCAAATTGTGAAAAAAGGCGTTCCTTTGCAGAATGGGGACCAAAGGCTGTGGAAATGCACACACCCCCGTACTGCTGTTGAGCAGCTGTGTTTGGGTTTATTGCTTGGAACACGGCGGGGGGAGGCCATCTTCGGCGTGGGAGTGCCCAGGCGAGACCAGTTCCCGAGGTGCTTTGACCGACCACTTCTTGTGAAGTAAAACCACAGTTCTAAATGCTGCGTGCCGTTTTTGTAAAAGCTGTTGTGGTTGGGGCGGGGGCTGTAGGCAGAATATAGGCCTATATCAACAAAACCCCCGATAAACAAACAAAACCCCAAACGGTCGCTCGGAGCAGCCTGCGGGGCGCTGCCGCCCCCTTTTTCCGG